TGACATTTTAGCTGTGAATGTCATAATACTGTTAGGTTTTACTGCAAAAAAATGCACATATTTGTAATCAGTGATGTCTCCCCCCATTAACAGGTGTTATGTCGTTTTGGCAAGTTACAGGGTCAAATATAGAACGTTCCATTTTCAAATTGAAATTTGCGGATTAGTATTGTGTAGGTGTGGTAGTCCAGGAATGAGAATTACCCCCATAATGGCATACCATTTGAAAAAGTAGACAAGCCAAAGTATTGAAAGTGGGGTATGTTTAGTCTTTTTTAGTAGCCACTTAGTCACAAACACTGTCCAAAGTTAGCGTTCATATTTGTTTTTGTGTGAAAAAAGCAAAAAACTAATATTTGGCCAGTGTTTGTGACTAAGTGGCTACTAAGAAAGACTGGATATACCCCACTTGCAATACCTTAGGTTGTCTACTTTTGCAAATGGTATGCCATCATGGGGGTAATTCTCATTCCTGGGCTACCATACGCTCTCAAAGGCAACATAACCAATCTGGCAAATTTCAATGTCAAAAAATGAAATGCAAGCCTTATATGTGACTCTCTAACTTTCCAAAACACCATAAAACCTGTACATGGGGGTACTGTTATTCTCGGGAGACTTCACTAAACACAAATATTAGTGTTTTAAAACAGTAAAACATATTACAACAATAATATAGTCCATAAAAGTGCCGTTCATTTGTAAAAAATGCAAAAAACTTCACTTTTACTTAAAATATCATCGTTGTAATACAATTTACCAGTTTGAAACACTAATATTTGAGTTCAGCGAAGTCTCCCGAGTAAAACAGTACCCCCTATGTACAGGTTGTATGGTGTCTTGGAGAGTTACAGGGTCAAATATAGTGCTTGCGAATTAAATTCTCTGCACTTTCTCCCTGTGTTGTCAGGCATGTCAATCAGATTTTAATTAATCAAATCACATAATTATGTTAAAATATTACTTAAATATACATGTAGAATTTTAATATATATGCATTTATAGGTATTTAAATTCTACATGTATACTAATGTAATCTTTGATGTAATTATATGTATTTATCTATATATATATATATATATATATATTTTCGGTTATTTGTATTTTATATATAGATAGATATAGAATGTCATTCTAAGTGTATTTTGTTTTATATATATATATATATATATATATATATATATATATATTAATAACAAAATACAGTTAGAATGAAATTACATATGAATATATAATTTATATAAAATTTTTGTTTCAATATTTTATTTATTTTATTATTGTATTTATATATTTTTGTAATTATACGTATATATATATAATATATGTGTGTATATCTATTATATATAATATATATACATATTATATATATGTAACGTCATTCTAAGTGTATTTTAATACTAATATATGTACTTATATTAATATTAAAATACACTTATGACGTTACATATATATAATATGTATATATATTATATATATAATAGATATACATCTATTATATTTGTGTAAGGGGCAAATAGCCGTATATGGAGTAAGGTTCCAGCATAAGCATAGGATAGTATAAAGGGAGCAAGTCGGTTGTGGTGTGCCGAGACCGACGATACAGTAGGCCTGTAAATAAAGAGGGCCCACCAAGGAGTAAGAAAGTAAAGTAAATGGAAAGAAAAGAGAAAGTGTTGAAATGAGGAGTGGGTGGGAGGGTCATTCTGATGCTGACCTCAAGCGATATGGAGTCAGGTAAGGGGTGTCCCTTATTTAGGGGAGTGCATTAATTTAAGCCCCTCCCACAAATACAGGCCAAACGGCCTTAATACTTGTGTAAGGGGAAAATAGCCGTATATGGAATAAGGTTCCAGCATAAGCGTATGATAGTATAAAGGGAGCAAGTCGGTTGTGGTGTGCCAAGACCGACGATACGGTAGGCCTGTAAATAAAGAGGGCAGAAATTAATAATCAAAGATTTAATACAGTCAACAAATATATACAAATTAACCAGACATTTCCTTAAATGCATTACGGTATTTAATTCCTGGAAGGATTTTGATGGTAGGAATCTAGGACCACAACTGGACACCATTTGTTGTTGGTACGATAGTATGTTATCTCTACTGTTGGTGCGTGTTGACTCATTTCGGAATGTGGTAGAGCCAACAGGTGATGATATATGTGTTTACGTACGTGGGATTGTTGAAGACAATGATCTGTCTGAGTGGTGGTGATGGTAGTGGATTCTCTGGCCTAAGAAAGGAATAGAAGGCAGTGTGCATGGCTGGTAATGGCCGACTTGGTAGTATAATTGAAATGTTGTATATCTAATAGACCTGTAGGTGGCAGTGTTGATAGAACCACTGTTGGTCTTGATGTGAAATGTAAATTATTGTGAATTAAACCTGAAGTTGAGCCCGTGCTGGAGTTTAATTTATGGTTTATAGTTATGTTTAAAACAATATTATGTGTAATTTATATTGGCTGGTAAATTGTATATGACATGTGAAGACACTTTTGCTGTTGACAAGTAGGGGTCAGAAATGCTGATAGTATGGTAAAAATACCCTTTAATCCAAATGCAAGGATAACGTGAGATTTTGAGAGTGACCTATGTAAAACATTGTTTGTGAGCTATGCCCCAGCATTATAGTTGTATGACAGGGAAACGAACAGTGCCCATTTGACATTGTACAATATGTGAACATAATAGCTTAATAACAGTCATTGTAACAAACCAAAGTTCTGTTCGTGGGTTGTAAATGCATGAAACGTGTATGTAGTACAATAGTAAATGCATGAACTAATTCCCGTTTGGTAGAAAATTGCACGAACCGTGAGCCTGGTATGTCAGGGAAACAAAACGAAACAAGCAGTGAGATTCGAAATGCACGCACAGAATTGCCTAGTATGTTTAGGCAATTGAAACAGAATGTGTTCCCGTTCGGGAGTATGCTAATGCTTGAAATGAGCCAGTGACAGATATAAACAAGTGAGTTTAAATGAATGATATGCATGAACATGCAATGGTTTTAGAACAGACTTAGACAAAATGCAGCCGTAAAGTGAGGACCTGACCCATGCATGGTGCCATGGGACTGATGCCTGGCGCAACGGGTAGGTCGACTTACAGTTTGTGAGTCACTTGGACACCATCCACGGCGATGGATTTTACTTTCCCACCAGCAGGGGGACTGTCTGACATTTCAGACAGTCCCCCTGCTGGCAGATCCACAGCTAGCTATAAGGGGCCATGTGATCACTCTTTGAGAGCGATCACATGGCCCCCGGGGGCCTCATTTGCTGGTGGAGGGCTGCCTGGGCTGTCAGGCAGCCCTCCAGAAGAAGATTGCGGCGGAGGTAAGTCCACCGGACCTCCTGGGGCTGCAAGCCATTACGACGTTCTATGTCGCCACAACGCCTTTAAAGCCCTTTTAATGCAGGACCGCATAGAACGCCGTAACGGCGTTAATAGGTTAAATAGCCATGCTAAATGCCACAAAGTACAACAAACTGATTTCCACATTAACAAAAACTACCAAAAATTTTTTAATAGCCACTCACAACATAGGTAATTACAACAGATTATCACATATCACATTAATTACCGTGACTACTTTTCCAATTGTCACAACCTACCCCAACCTGCCATGGACTGGTTGCCCACCATCTCTAATTGTGACAGGTTTCTTGTCTTGAAATTAACAGGAGACATCAAAATAGTTATCCAGATACTAAAGGGTTTAGAAACGTTCTTATTAGTAGTAGTATTTTGTATAATAATAATAATAATAATAATAATAATAATAATTATTATTATTATTATTATTATTATACATTTATACTAACCTCTTCCCGAAAAATAGATATCAAAAAATGATCAACAAACTGATCAGCCATTTCTTATGATTTTGGTGTGAGAGAGGTCAAGACAGGGAAAAAACCATCACTGAGACATTGTTTGATAAAAAAAAATGTTCTTGTTTGAAGATAATAAAGGAATATTTGTTTGCAAGGAATTAAGAGTATTGTTATCTCATAAATAAGGCTAGGGTGGCATTGGACCTGTAATTGGATTAAAAATGGCATTCTTATTATTTATTGTATTTGTTATTGTGCTTAGATGAAAATACATGTTAATTACTCAAGCACTTTCCCTGCTGAGATAAGTCACCTTGTGCTTAATTACTTTCATGCAGCATGTGTCTGTGTGAGAATACTTTTGAGCAATTCCCCACTAGAGGGGAGATGTTAAGTAAATTCATTGTTAAGTCAATTCTAATGAGGTGGAACGTTAGTCTCTGGTTTCACATCTCCCTGATCATAGAGCTAAACAATGAAAAAAAAATCATTCGTCCTTCCTCATTATTTTACGATGAGTGTACCCACATTGGAAGAAGTGAATTGTCTCTGGACAAACAATACTTGTGATTTATTTTTTTCTTTAACTACTTCAAAACTGATAATTCAACAAATAATGGAGGAATTAAACAGACATGTAATATTAAATGCATTGATAATAAAACAATGTCATTTTAATATAGGTTCACGTATTACATGAGACTAAGTTACATGGAAATACAGCAAATTGAGGCAAGAAGCACAATTATACTGTATGTAGTAGTGTGTGGGAATCGCAAGAGTGGAATTAATTTCTATTTTTTTTTTTATTTATTTAAACATAACTAAAAACAGGTAATCACTAGCAGTCTTATAGTAGAGGTTCAGTCAGTATTCAGTAACTAATCACAGTAACATCAGCCCCCCCAACTAAAACACAGTAGGCCGTAACAAGTAAAAGTGACATCAATGAGGCAATATAACAGAGATTAGTTACATGTAATGCACAACTCATTGATAATAATTCTTTGTGTTCAATCCGCTGTCAGATAACAGTGGACCTGATAGAAATATGGCAAAATCATTCTAGTGGTTATAAAAAAGTTACAAAAAAATCCTTCATGAATACCAACTATTGGAAGAACAATCAATCCAATAGACCAGGGCTAGGCAACCTTCGGCACCCCAGATGTTTTGGACTTCATCTCCCATAACACTTTTACAGCCATAATGCTGGCACAGCATCAAGGGAGATGTAGTTCACAACATCTGGGGTGCCAAAGGTTGCCTATCCCTGCAATAGACCATGGCGTAGGCAGCATAGTAACTGGTAGGTACTAACAACAGGACAAGTGACACTGTATGAGTATATGGAAATTTAGTCCTTCCAAATGAAATGTAACAAAATCAAAGGTTGGTCCTCTGGACTGTGCTAAAAACTTATAGCAAATTAGTGTGGGGTAAAACAGCACTGCGGAATGTTGGCACTTTAAAAATGGCAGTCATAATAATAATAATTAATAATGACTACATTTCCTGGTGCAGAATTAGCAATTAGGAAAATAACTCTCTAACAGAGTTGTGATGGAAAGCTGTCACTGCTTGCCATGCCTGTCTAAAACAGTGTCTCCAAAAGACTATAATTATCCTTGTTACCCCCCTTTGTTCCAGCCCCCTTGCTTACCCACCCGTGAGCTACAAATCCGGGCTAGTAGCTGCCCAAAGAGCGTTCTCTCCGTGCTACCTAAGCGGAGATATCCACCGGAGAGATAAGCAAGTCCTGGCCGACACTCTAAAACTGTGAGTCGGCTTCACAAGCCACAGAGTCCCTCCGGATTGGCCGCCATGTGGTTTAGGTGCGAAATTGAATCTACCGGCCTAAACCAAGTGATTCTCTGGAACTGTTCTCGGATATATACAGAGCCTTAAGCCCAGGCTTTGTACGACGTTTTCTTGGGCTCTGTGCATCCGATAGCTCCACAATTTCCAGGGATCATAGCTGGGACCAGGAGCTAGTTGGGGATGTATGGCAGGTGTGGGTGCGTTATTGTGTTGTATTTTTGTGTTTTTTTGTTGTTTAATTGACTTCCTGTGTCCGGGATATACCATTATCTCACAGACACAGCGACACCGGGGTGGGCTTATTTTTTTGTATTGCTGTGCATAAATACTGTGAATCTTGCCTACAATAAATATTTATTTTTCCCCCCTTCGCTAAGTCTCAACTAGTTTTTGGGTGATACCACGATTGCCCTTCTACAAGTGACTATAATCACTGGCTAGCAGCTATAATCACTTTAGGGCTGCGCACACCAAGGAAGGGGCGACCACAGGCGGTAGTAACCTATCCTCAAGTGGGTATACCACCACAAGAGTTATTCACTTAAGTGTGAATTGTCAGGAAATAATTATATGTTTTAAATTTAAAAAAATAGTGAAATTTAAAAAATTCTCTATGATAGCTCTGTTTCCAGTTCAACTATTTTAAATTCACTTTCAAATTCTAAAATTCACACTTTAGCAAATTACCATTTTGATCTCAGAATGTACCACCAAATGCAGTACCAATCAATTGGTATAAATAATGTTAAGTGGATGTGGATATATATTTTTTTATTATTGGAAAACAAAATGTTACGTATCATATGTTATAAAAATGAATGCATTTAGCATGTTTATTCCAAATTCTTTTTCTAAATATTTGGAGATTATAACCATTTTGGCTATTTTGTTCAGTGTCATAACTCAGTGTCATTATTTAGGATAAGATAACGGACTTGGAAACACTTGAGGCTAAACAGTAACTGTCAGATTTCTGAGATGGGATTTTAACAGGCAGCTCTTCCAGGAATGAAGAATATTGCTTGGACTGCTCAGGGGACTCCTTGTCCCCTCAAGGTATAATATTATCACTGCGTGCTTGAGGCACTATAAGAGTAATTTGGAGTCTGAATGAAGATGAATAAATATAGTGTATACTTCGAGCTATTTACCTGTCAGACAATTTGTAGAATTTCCCAAAATGTATATGTTTTTCATGGTTACACCATGTTTAGTAAACATACAGTTACCCTGGAAGGATAAATGATTTTGTTATTGAATGAGAGAATGAATGAATGAATTAATACATGAATGAATGAATGAATGAATGAATTCTTATTTATGGAAGGCACTGTAAATATACAGATGCTTAGCAAAGGCTGTATTTTATAACTTGTATATAATTAGAAATCAGGCTTAAAAATCATACCATATTTGTTGTTTGATTAACAGAAGTGTACAGAAATATAATTCACAAATAAATACACATTGTACAAATAAATACCTATTCCTATCTGGATAGAAAGGCAAGTGTGACATGAATAGATTGTCACAATATAAAATTATTTTGCAACTGAAGATGAATGTTTATAGAATCGATTTACTGCAATGACAGGACAGCTCAACATCTGTTAATGATCTACAATAAAACAAGTTAATTTGAAATGCTGAGAAGCAACAACAGCAATACAGTTTATAACTGATCTATCTTCTAATTACTCACAAGAATGAAAGATTAGCTGCGTCTCTCCTCAGGCTGAGAAAAGCTTGTCCTCAATTGTGAAAAAAAAGCAACCTATTTAATGTATCTAAGTATTATTTATAGGAAAAATTCTTTTTAGATGAGCGATTGGGCAATTTATGTCTAGATTAAATATTTTCCACAAGATATATGTATGACAGACCACAGACGATAATTAGGTTGGTAGACATAAAGCACTACGGAATATGTTGGCGCTATATAAAGGGCGATAATAATAATATAGGCTGCAATCAATCATTATTAAAATTATAAATATAGCAAGAAATTTGCTGACAGTTTGATGGAGATGTTGGTAGCTGGGGCATGATGCAAATATGTCTGAACCCTGTAAATATATGTTTTTCACTTTTAAACTATTATTTGATTATTATTATTGTTGTCAGTTTTGTTTTGCTTTTGTCTATCTCTTACACATTTCCTCGGGCCTCTTTTTGACCCCCTTTTTTCTTGACACATAATTCTCCTGCTTCTGCCACTTCAAGTACAAGTGGGCATATCAGCCGACACTTTTGAACTGACATTGAACCTTGCATCACTTTGCCATGCCTATGGCGTGAGAAGTTAATAAACAGTTCTGGGTGCTGACATTGTCAAAATTGGTGGACCCATTGAATCCATGATATTTCTGTCAGAACCCCAAAGAACATTTCAAAATCAATCAACATAAATCATGGTTATATTTTGATTCAGCGATCTATTAAAAAACAAACTTGACACATTTGACGGTGTCTATAAATAATTGGCACTGTTTCTTAGCACAGTTTGCATTTTCAGCAACGTCATACACCAGGTGACACCGACACAGAGAACGCTAATGGCTAGTATGAAAAGTATATATGTGATATAAATATATATTACTATATATATGGAATGGTTTGAAACTTCGGTAAAAGGCCGGTTTTCATTAAGATTCTATCTTTGTGAAAAGTAGCCTCAAACATCATAAATAAAGAGCAATATTTATTTTAATCTTGTTTTATAGCAGGATTTGGAGACATTAATTACCCAAGGAGCTGGTAGTTTAATAAAAAGTTGTGCTTGGCAGGCAGCTCATTTACATGTTCAAGGTGAGAGGCTAAGTGTGAAAACAAAATGAGTGACTATAGCGGTTAAGGGCCACACATAGCTCCCTTCTCTTCACTGGCATGTGAGGGATAGAATTCAGTTATTGGATGCAAACTGAATGTGCGTGAGAATGCCCATTTAGACTGTAAGAGCATGTGGTTTCAAAGTCGCTTCCCTGCTTATGACATGGAATTTCCAGCCATAAAATAAACCTTTTTCATCTTTACGTTCAAACATTTTCCTGCAAAGCCCGAAGTTAAACAAGCACTTAACTTACACACATATTATTTTATGAAAGAAAATACCTTTCTGAGTTTGTGAAAGTATTACAGAAAGTAAAACTGTTTCTCTGTAAATGAGGTGGTGTATACTTTTTATAAAATACACCACAGAAAAAGAAAAATTGATTTTGTATCGATACAGATAAAGGATTATTTTCAGGCCACAATCAACACTCTCCACTGAGTCATTACACTGTTGTCTAGCCTTCAAAGTTTAAAGCCTTCAATGTCTAAAAAAACAACAACACGAATATGGGAATTTTTCTACGTTTACCTTGTTACCTCAACTATGACTACGTCACTTTAGATCGTAAGCTCTAAGAACTAGGTACTAGAAATTAGTTGTTTAGCGTAAACTCAGCTTATTTGTCAGTTTAAACCTGATCCGAATCATCCAAATACAGTTAATTTTAGCTAATGTTGATTCAATTTAGCCAATTGTATAGATCACATGCATGTCAGTTTTCTAATTTTTTTATTTTGTTTCATGTCAATGGCATACGCCACCTTCGATATTTTTGGGGGCTATTCTTCTGTCAGTCTACCTAGCCTTATCCTCATCAGAATCTTGATATTCTTTGTGATTGAAACGCAATTGGTGCATAACTCGCAAAATAATGTACATAGGTGTTATACTTTCTGACCTTTTCATTTAGAGCCTCTTACCATGGTACAATTTTAAAAATGTATTGATAATAAACCGCAGTGATCAAACTGCTTGTTGGAATGAGTAGTGTGATGAGTTGACACATTCTAAGGGTAAAATGTGATTGGAAAGCTCCTTATGAGAACCATCCGTCCAAAGCAGGGGGAAAGCAATGATTACTTTTCTATCTTCAGCAGCTAGCAACACGTATTCACACCTCTAAAGCCCAAGTAAAAATGTATGATTACAAAGTAATGAAATTTCATCTGGACATATTCCCCTTAATTGCACAAGGAAACATAATTTATTGGTACAAAATGATGTGATAAATGAGAGACTGGATTTTGATTTGTAAAGGTGGCTCTGTGTGTTACTTATTTTGTCAGTCAGTTCATTGTGCATTATCCTTGATATATGCGGATTATATAGATATCTAAATTGATATTACACGGGAACTGTCACATCATTTTGTTTTGTTTTGTATTTTTTGTTTAGCAACCCGATATCTAAGTAAAAGTTAGCAATGGGTCATGCATATTTGTAGATTGTAGAACACATATTAATAGAATGCGCAGATTAAACTTCATGGTGAATATTGGTACACATTACAGAAGGAATAACCACACACTCATACAGCATTTTAAAATGTTTACTTACATTATATGATTGAAGTTGTGGCAGGCTTATGCAATGTGTGATCATATA